GGCGTTTGGGATATGCACGATTAGAACAAAAAATTGTAAGTATTTACAAATTGCAATGATATACTTGTTCATCAATAGTTATAACTGAGCTTGTTTTTTGTGTTAATGTGTAGTTAAAAGAGGAGAGTAGTTCGGAAACATCTCTTCCGGAGCATGTTTTGTGGAAGGCTGCCCGTGTGGGTAAGGATGGAGTTCTTAAAGAAGATGTACAACAAATTTTTGAAAAATGGGTAAGTATAACATTAATTCTAATTAAATCAAAATTTTATTAACATATAGTATTCATGTTTTTCCAATATTCATATGAATTTCAGGAGAGTCTGTCTCAGTCTACATCTCCACCAGATGATTACAGGAGCATACTTAGTCGAGCATTAGATGTTCGTGATTATTCTGGTCGGGTGAGGGGTAAAGGACATGGGGTTACTCCAAGCTCCTTGAAAAAGAACAATCCAAAGACAAAATCTACTAGCTATAAAGAACTGCAGGCAAGGTTGGATGCATTAGAAGCTGAAGTTCTTGGATTGAGGAAGGAAAAAGCAAGACAGTACCAATCACAAAGGGAAGCTTCGGGTGTTAAAGAAGCTAGTGACATAGCTAGTGTCAATTGTGTAGCTCAATCGAGTATTCCCGAGGTACTTACATATATTATTATGAAATTAAATTAGTGTAATTTATTTAACTGACATATATACACATTAATGATGTCATATTTATTATTGATTTTAGGGCATTTCACCTTGTCAACTCTTTTTAGAGACACCAACTTATCGCATGGTTGGCAAGGGAAAAGTCCATAACACTCTGGGAGAAGTACTTCATCATAAACCGCTCCCTTCTGGATATTTGAAAGTGTCGATTGATATTGCTTTAGAGGAGAGTGCGTTATTACCAATCCCAAATGAAGTTTCGGATGCAACATTGGTGGGAGAGGCAATAGGAGCATTTGTTGCATGGCCATCAAGGCTTGTTCGCATAGATGATGAGGTATAATTAAAACCGTTATGAACCTTTTAGTAATCAAATTTTTTAAGTTCGTTTTACTTACATTTTTTTGCATGGTAATGTTAGACTCCTACAAAACCCAAACCAAAAGATAAAGGAGTTACGCGGCCAAAGGAGTCAGTGACAGCAAAAAAACAGGTACAACACAATTATATGATATTTATGCTTACATAATGTTAATTTGTCGTCCTATACTTGACCACTCTAATTTTATGATATTTAGATTATTCCTGCTAAAGAGATTGGAGCTGTAAGTATGGGTAAGGAGCCTGTAATTAGCAACATTCCCACAGAAACAAAGAGTGTTGCTAAGAGGACCGGGGCTAGAAAGAAAACTACTTCACAATATAGGTCGTGCCTTCAGACATTTATAAGCTTCACAACTATTTCTCAAGGTGGTACTTCTCTTATACCCCTGGATGAAGGGATTAATGGTTCTGAAGGCATGACAGCAATTGGTAAGGAGGATTTGGAAGAAGGTTTTGGACACTTGACATTAGGCATGGCTGTTATCAATACATACATCAGGTATACTCCAATCAACTTTGTTTAATTAATTGCAAAATTTATTTACTCATTTCAATGAATAATTAATGTTAATGATGTTTTTATTTAAGGTTTCTGTATGACAAGTTGATTTTCCCGCGTGGATTGGAGTCCAGATTCGCTTTCATAAATCCCAACATTGTCCACGCAGGGTCAATAATCTCAAAACCAGATGAAGTAATAGCATTTGTGCTCAGTTTATTTATGGCCAACAAAGATACAGAAAAATTGTTCTTTTTACCATATAATACTGGCCCCAAGTAAGATTTTCATTCTAAATTTCCTCTATTATAATTTTTCGTTTTTTAACGTTGTGCAGAAAATTTCCATCTAACCTTTGTTTAATATTCCAGTGAACACGGTTATTGGTTGCAATTAATCCTGTGAGAGAAATTGTATATTATCTGGATTCATTGGGCAATGATTGGACAACATACCCAGATATGAAGAAGACGATTGACACATAAGTGAGATTGTTCCAAAATATTACTGTGTATATTTAATTATTTATGTGCGATAGTTCTAAATATTCGTTATTATTTTATTATAGAATTCTACAAAGTTTTCGAGCACAAAGAGATATTCAAGTACCAAGGAGTAGAGTCAACAATATTTCTTGGATCAAAGTGGAGGTATAGATTTTCACAGTTTTGATTATATAGCGATGATACTTGATAAAACAAGTTAAGGTGTATATCTTGATGTATATTCGTATTTTCTTTTCATGTGTAGTGTCCTCGTCAGCGCAATGGTGTAGATTGCGGTTATTTTATGTTGAGGTTTATGAAAGAAACTATTCTTTTGGACCGATTAGAGATTCCATCCACGGTATGAATTTCTAACTTAGGAATTATTTTCATATTTCTCATAAAATGACTTAGTATTTTAATTAAATCATACTATGTTATATTATTATGTAGTACTTTGATGAATTCAAGTGTGCTTCATACTCAAAAGATCAATTGGATGAACTTATGGAGGATTGATGCCAATTTGTTATGGAGTTGAGAGTTTTATTATAAGGTATAACTTTGAGTTTTGAGAATATAATATATGTCGTTATAGTTGTGTTACAATATTATTGTTTTTGTTGTTGTTATTTGGTAACTTGTATGAATTTTGATTTTTTGATTTTGTTTTAGGTTATATAGGTGCAACTCGATGTAGAAGATAGAGTTATTTTGTAATTCATCGTTGATTTTGTTTCATTGTTGTATATACTAATGTTGTTGTTGTGTATATTGTGCAAAAAGGATTGAAGAGATGAATATTGATGTAGTTATAATATTGTTTCATTGTTGTATATATTAATGTTGTTCTTGTGTATATTGTACAAAAAGGATTGAAGAGATGAATATTGATGTTGTTATAATATTGTTTCATTGTGGTATATATTAATGTTGTTGTTGTGTATATTGTGCAAAAAAGATTTAAGAGATGAATATTGATGTTGTTATAATATTGTTTCATTGTGGTATATTGATGTTGTTGTTGTTTAAAATGTTATAATGAAGCTATAATTTCTGGTGCAAAAATGGTGAGATTAAATTTGATAGGCAGCGTTTTATTTTAAATGAAATAAAAATTATATTTAAAAAAATATTAAGGAAAAGCGCTGCTAAAGGGGGGGAATAGACAGCACTTTTAATGAGAAGCGTTGTCTAAAGTGATTGAAAAAAAAAATTAAAAAAATAATAAGGAAAAGCGCTGTTAAAGGGGGGGGGGGGAATAGACAGTGCTTTTCATGATAGCGCTGTCTAAAGTGATTGAAAAAAAAAGATATATTAAAAAATAATAAGGAAAAGCGCTGCTAAGGGGGGGGGGGGGGGGGGGGGGGATAGACAGCGCTTTTCATGAAAGCGCTGTCTAAAGTGATTGAAATTTTTTTTAAAAAATAATAAGCAAAAGCGCTGCTAAAGGGGGGAATATACAGCGCTTTCCATAAAAGTGCTGTCTAAAATGATTGAAAAATAAAATTAAAAAATAATAAGGAAAAGCGCTGCTAAAGGGGGGAATAGACAGCACTTTTACCAAGTGCTGTCTAAAATTCCACATTAAAAGCGCTGTCTATACCTTTAGCAGCGGAGGTTTTAGCAGCGCTTTTAAGCGCTGTTAAAGGCCTTAAAAAGCGCTGTCTAATCCCTTGTTTGACATAGTGAAGTTTATAAATAAATCAAAATGATCACATTATCAAGCTGCTGTCAGAATAACGGTGATAAACCTAACTCAGAACTGATATGCTATTCAGACTCTAATTGGTGTAGAGACAAAGTTGATAAAAGAAGTACTTCTGAATATTTTTTTAAGTATCTGAAAAGTCTTATTTCTCGGTGCTCTAAGAAACAACCAGTAATTGCAATATCCAAAAATCTACTTTAAATCTTGACAAGAATCCAATGATATAAGAAAACACATTGACACAAAATTTTATATTCGAAGAAATCAAGTCCAGAATAAAGTACTAAAAATTGTTCACTGTAGCACTCAGAAATAACTTACAAATGTTCTAACGAAAATTGAAAACTGTTAGAACTGAAAGAATCCAATGATATATGAAAGAAGAAAACACATTGACACAAAATTTTATATTCGAAGAAATCAAGTCCAGAATAGAATACTAAAAATTATTCACTATAGCACTCAGAAATAACTTACAAATCAGAAATAACTTACAAATGTTCTAACGAAAATTGAAAACTGTTAAAACTGAACACTTTTTTCATTTGAAAGATGAAATTAGTATTGTATAATTTAATTAACTTAATATGAATTAAGAAATGAGTTAAAAATAATTCATATTAAAATATAGTTTGTTAGTAAAAAACAGAAGCCTCTGATTATCTATGTTAAACTGTGCATAGCTTATGAATTTGATTTGTTTTTGTTAGCTTATTTTAATAATACATACGTAGCATAGTTTACTTATATATCATGTTTATTTTGATGTATTTAAACACTTTAATATAACTATTTGTATTTAAACACCTTGATGTAAATATTTGTAGTCGATGAATGTAATTATTTGTAATTGATAAATGCATTGGTGAATATAGTTTCTCTCTCTTAAAAAATTGTTAAAACTGTTTTTTCTGTCTTTTCTTTTCTCTCTCTTCTTCTATCTTCATCTTCTACCTTTTATCTTCATCTTCAAGATTATGCTCCAAAAAATAATTATCATCTAAGTATGAAGTGTTGTGCTTGTATATGTCCTCTATTTTCTGTGTTACAAAAATTGACGAAGATTCTTGCAAAGAACATTATATCATTGCTTTCAAATCACATTATGAAGAAGGAGGAAATAGATAATTTAAACAATAGAAATAGTTTGGACCATTTTATTTACTCATACACAAATTTGTTTATTTAACTTAAATTTACAATGATATATCATTAAACTGAACATACTTAAAGATCATATACATGATCATATTGCATGGCCATTTGTTGAACTAACAAAACCTGGTGCAAAAACAGCGGCGGCGAAAGCCATGACAATCGCCACCAGTGAAACCTTCTCCCAAGCACACCGTTGCACAGTTGCTGTCCCTCAAGCACGGTCCATGAAACCTATGGCTTTGAGCCACACACCTTCTCGCTTCTGCTGTCTTCACCGTAACATCTGTAATTCATTAACCACGCCACACATATAAATGTTCCGAATGATCAAGCACATAATATTTGAAAATGAAGAATATTAATAAATATTGTATTTACCAGCAGCTAAGAGAAGGAAGAGCATGAACAAGAAACTGAGTGTTTTCCTCTCCATAAAGACCAGTTATAATAGAAACAAAATGTAATAACGGTTTAGCTGAATGGTGAAGTGAATGTGACTGATTATATATAATGAATTGCATGCAAAAGTAGATATATGACGTGTTGGCGTCGCATATAAAGAAGCAGATGAGTGTGCAAAGATGGACTGAAAAGAGAATATTATTTAAAGAGAAAACATGCAAAGGCGCAACGTGTGCACAGACAACGGTTGTGAATGGCCAGATCTATCTCCATTCACAGAAGGATTGTAACATATTCGCCACCGTTGTGTAGAAAATTAATGAATATGATAATTAACAAAAAGAATAAATGAATAAAATAGTTTTACAATAACTTTATCATAGTCATAATTTTCTTTTATGTGCTTCCTCTACCACCAAAAATGGTATTCTACCTTGCAAATATCACCAAAACATTCTGTGTCACGTCTCTAGTGCATGAGTGAATTTTTTTCAGGAGGGCCGAAGTCCACAAACAAAGAAATATACAAAAATTATCTTTTAGAAATTTCTTTTTTTAAATGGCTCACACTTCTGAAAATTTAAAATTTCTCTCAGAAATTTTTGGAGGTATATTTCTAAATGCACTTTAAATTATATAATTTTTTGTAAATTAAACAAGCACTCCGTTTTTATTAAAAATTAATCTGGAGATGCACCTGCAAAAAAATTATGGGGTGTATTTGAAAGTGCATTTTTTAAAAGATTCATGAATGCATTTTTAGCTATTTAAACGTGTGTACTTCGAATATTATGAGGTATTTTGGAATATGCATCTTCGAAAATCCCACTGAATGTATTTTAAACTATTTAAACAACATTATTTGAGATACACATCTCCGAAAATAGTCTTGCATGCATCTTAGATGGAAACATTGTTCTAAGTTTGTAGTTTTTTTAAGCCAAAGTCGTTTTAATGTGACTAACGGTGTCATGATTTCATTCAAACGTTAGTAATCACACACATTATAGAATAAAATAATGCATTAATTAAAAGAACAACACAAATATTGTTCTCAAAGTATGAAAAATAATACTAAAACATCTCACAATAGAAAAAAAAACATAACCAACTGCGTACGTCTAATCCTTATCCCCTTACTCCTCCTCTGTTGTCGGTAACTCAAGTTATTCCGGGACTCGGTAAGAATGGCATGTGCAATGGTATTTGCATCATCGCCACCTCTCTCAAACCGTCTAGACTCTATGCTCTCATATGTAAGCTGCATAATATTTTGACAAATCGATAACACATCGATGATATGGTCATCCCCCGCCTGCTCATTTCGAATATGCATATTCGAATAAGCTTGTGTTCCCTACAATGGCATAAACGCATATCAGTCTTATCCTAACCTACCAAAATGCAATCAAATGAGAATATTTGTTTCTAATTGCTATCAGTTTCGAATGTGACTACTACCTAATGCATATATAACAACCTATTTTACCTAATACATTAATCAAAACTCAAAAAAAGTTAAATGAGAAACTTACTCAAAAAAGAGTTGTGGATGAAAAATATTGATGTAGTTAGTGGAGGGAGTTGAGATTGGAAAGATTGAAGTAGAGTGTTGCACCCCGAAATTTTCCCTCCCATTTTCTTCAACAAAACATTCTTTTAAGGATTCTCAAAGTGCTCAAGAATCTCAAGGGTTAATCAATCAAACCTCCCCTTAAGCAAAGGGTCTACAACTAGAATTTTGTGTTTCTCAAAGAATATTGAGTTGCAAGGGTCTCAAATGATTTTCATGGTTCATCATAGGTCCTCAATAGTGCTCATGTCATGTTCCAAGTCCTACATCACAAGTTTGCGCAGTCAATAGGTCAAATGATTGAAAATCAACTGTATTAGAAAAAAGTCAACTATGGTTCACATACAGTCAAACTTCAAAAATATTGGTCAACATCAATATTTTGAAGTGATATTCATCATTTGATCAAGGGTTGATCATGATTTCTCAAGGAAAGCCATCAAATCATCAAAAGTCAAAAATTGCCAAATTAGGGCTTCCTTAGGAGAAGTCAACTAAACTTTGACCAAGCATACCTTACACATGCTTCATCAACTTTATCCCAACCAAAGCCTATTTTGAAGGAAGTTCAACTCCTTACAACTTTTTAATTATGCTCAAGTTCAAAAAATATTTCATTTGAGAGATATAAGCCAATACATTACATGTCATTTTAAAAAGTCAACAAAAAGACACTTTTTGTTAAGATAACTTACATCAAGATAAAGTCTCCAAATGCAAAAATAATCAAAAGAGAAATTATAGAGGACATCTTGAGCGTTTCAAAAAGTCAAAGATCACCTTCAAAATATGAAGATTGAGCAAGTTATGAGTTGCACAAGTTGAGAAACTTTGAGGAAATGCAGGAAATCTCAATTGAGCAAATTTGTGATTTTGGGCTATTGGGCCTAAGCTTTGGAGTTCAAATGTGTTCATGACATATTTAAAGACCCTTAAGTGCATTCATGCATTATTTTAGTTTTTGTTTTATTTATTTTTATTTTATGTATTTAAAATCAAAATAAAATCAAATAAAAAGCAAGCTTAATGGGCAAGGCATGTAAGGCTTATGGTCTAATCTTTTAGAGGCCCAAACAATTCATTCCAGCCTGTTACAAAACATTCCAAAATCGTGCAAGGCCATGAGAATGAAAGAAACCTATTCTTTTGGAATGCTTGGAAGCGCACATGAAATTCCATTATGTCATTTAATTTATACCATATTTGTTACCTAATATGATTCATCATATATATACACAAGCCTGAGATCTCAAGGGGACACGCGCAAGCTGCCTCAAGGAAATACGGTTTGAATCACAAAATTTCTCAAAAAGTGAAAGCATTCGAGTTGTAAGCTCCAAGCAATTTCAATCCAAACTAAGCCTTGAAATCATCTCCTGAACATCCATAGGGTAAGTACGGGTAAGTTTCAACGATTTCCCAGGCCTGAATCGTGTTACCCACCATCTCTGTTTGCATTTTCTTTTCATCATTCGTATTTTTTTTTTAAATTCGCGCGTTGTTGATTGTTTTTAACCACATTGATCTTCATATATGAATGTTTAGAACAGGCATGGACAAAAAAATTTAAGCTCTAACGTCAGAATTTAGTTTTTCCATAGTTAGGGAAAAATGTTTTTGTGTCTTTGTATCAGTACTTCCATACCATTACAGGCAAAACTGATAGCACCATTGGCTTCACAGACCTTGATTTAGGGGGGTTAGGGTTAATTTAGGGCTTTGATTTTTGTTCTTTCGATGGTTTATATTTTGGACTAACCGGAGGAGAAAGAGTTAACCACCGTGAGGGGTGGTCTGACTCGCCAGAAGACTTGCGTGGCATCTGGCTGTCTTCTGATTTGCTGGTTCAAAATAACAGGGGTCCCACCTATTTTGAGTGTGTTTTAAAATAAAAAATTAAAATTGGGTTTATTACATATTTGATTGTTTGTGTTTCAAGTATTGGATGTATCACCACCCAAGTGGTTAAAGTGCGCGCGTTAAGGCATGATGGACACTCACGGCGTGGGTTCGATCCCTGACTTTGGCATTTTTTTTATTTTCCAGGAATTCCCGCAGGTACAATATATATTGAATAGATGCCAATTCCCAGACAACAACCAATCATTGGCGTAGTGGAGAGATGCTTGCCTGAGAGACTTCTGGGGCGTGGGTTCAACACTTACCCCATGCTTTTTTCCTAATTTCTATTTTACTAACCTTTTATTTTTCTTCTTTTCTAATTCTTTTCATATTTTCTTAATTTAAAACCTTTTAATAAATTAAATTAAACCCAAATTAAGGTTATGGTTGTTTTTTTGCTAATTAGAGTTTTTTTAAACATTTTTTAATTAATTAAAATTTATTTAGACTTAGGTTTTACCATATTAATTAATTTGTAAAATAATTAGAATTAGGGTTTATTATTTTACATTATAAAAACATTTATCAAAACAACACACCAAAAATATTTTCTTAAATGCTTAGAATTTCTTTTAGGTTTTTAATATTTTCCCTTTTTTTCACAATCTTCGTGTGCTTATATATTCTCGCATTATTACTTTTATAAATTATGTAACTGTTAATGGATGTAATAGATAAATTAAGATTTACTTTACTTTTTTCCCGTTTTATGGTTTGTACTCCCCATCCCCCGAAGCATTGTAATAGCGTAGGTTTTATTTTCCAGCATTTTACTTTCTACACTTATATATATATATATATATATATATATATATATATATATATATATATATATATATATATATATATATATATATATATATATATATATATATATATATATATATATATATATATATATATATATATATATATATATATATATATATATATATATATATATATATATATATATATATATATATATATATATATATATATATATATATATATATATATATATATATATATATATATAACTGCTAGTTTAATAGGATTGTACGGCAAAGACTAAAACCAAATGCTAGATAACCATAAATCCAAGACAAATTAACTGAATCTCAATAAACTTCTCACACGCGCACCTCTAGGGTAACCCTCACTCGTAGCCTCAGACAAAAACAATCATGTCCCTCGAACGTGGTATGCTTTAGCAAAGACCCTTCGGTTAAAAAGATCGTAGTCCCTCTATGACCCTTTGATGCTGCCTCGGTAAACGATCTTAGTCGCTTACGACAATTGCTAAAGCGTCATACAAGTTGCCTTCTATGACTGTATGATGACCCAAGCCTATCCCTCAAACATCCAATGATAGAGCTTCCTACTAATTAATGGTAGGATAACACTATCTAAAGGAAGAGGAAAATAACGTGAAAGACTTTTTGAGTACATAGATAGCTCATAGTCGCTTGCTCACAAATCAAAAACATTTTTCACACATACACTCTTTTCTAAAATATTTTCAAAACAAAACTTTGTATGCGTTCTCAACTGATTCGAGAATCATTACAAAGTTG